TTTCTTTCTTTCTTTCTTTTTTTTTTTTTTTTTTTTTTCTTTCTTCTTTCTTTCTTTTTCTTTTCTTTCTCTCCCTCTCTCTTTCTCTCTTTCTCCCTCCCTTCCCCTTCCCCTCCCTCCCTCCCTTCCCCTTCCCCCCCCCTCCCTCCCTCCCTCCCTCCTTCCTTCCTTCCTTCCTTCCTCTCTCTCTTTCCTTTCCTTTCCTTTCTTTTCTTTTCTTTTCTTTTCTTTTCTTTTCTTTTTTTTCTTTTCTTTCCTTTTATTTCCTGGCAGGATCTTGCTCTGTCACCCAGGCTGGAGTGCACTGGTGCAATCATGGCTCACTGCATCCTGGGTTCAAGTGATCTTTCTGCCTTAGCCTCCCAAGGAGTACCTGGACTACAGGCATGCATCACCATGCTTGCTAATTTTTAAATTTTTTGTAGAGAGGGGGTCTTGCTATGTTGCCCAGGCTGGTCTCAAACTGGCCTCCAGTGATCCTCCTGCTTCAGCCTTCCAAAGTGCTGGGATTACAGGTTTGAACCATTGCACCTATCCACAAGGGAAACTTTCAAGCAGCTCTAGGCTGGTGACCTCAGCATTCATTAGTTGTTCATCTAGAGGCAGCATGAAGAGCAGAAACGGGGTCACTCTCCATGAGGTTTTGCTGGGAATGACCTTCTGCCATCAGCACAAGAGGTGCAGGCCCTCCAGGCTGCGGTGGATGCCTGTCTCCTGATCTGGGTTCAAGCTCCCTCCCTGCCTCTTGCTAGTCATGTTATCATGGGCAAGTTACTTAAGCTCTGTGTCTATTGTCTCACCTGTAAAATGGAGATAGCGATAGTACCCACCAGTAACTTTGTTGTAGTAAATGAGGTAATTAATGCAGATAAAAGCACTGGGAACACTCTACAGTACAGAACTCAACAAAACATTAACTATCACCATCATGGTTATCATAAACTGTGTTGTCTTTTCTGTTATTATTCTCTGTTCGCTTACCACCCTTTACCCACATATGCAGATAATGTAGGCAGAGGCCAGAGGTCCAGTGAGCCCTTAAAAATAAATATGAAAGGCTGGGCGTGGTGGCTCATGCCTGTAATCCCTGTACTTTGGGAGGCTGAGGCAGGTGGATCACGAGGCCAGAAGATCGAGAGCAGCCTGGCCAACATGGTGAAACCCCGTCTCTACTAAAAATACAAAAATTAGCTGGGTGTGGTGGCACATGTCTGTAGTCCCAGCTACTCGAGAGGCTGAGGCAGGAGAATCGCTTGAATGTGGGAGTCAGAGGTTGCAGTGAGTCGAGATCGTGCCACTGCACTCCAGCACGACAGAGCAAGACTCCATCTCTAAATAAATAAATAAATAAATCAGAAAGCCCTGGCACAGTGGCTCACACTCATAATCCTAGCACTGGGGAGGCCAAGGCAGGGGGATTATTTGAGGCCAGGAGTTTGAGACCAGCCTGGACAAAATAGCAAGACCCTATCCCTACAAGAAAAAAAAATTAGTCAAGTATGCACATGTCATCTCAGCCACTTGGGAAGCTGAGGCAGGAAGATGGCTTGAGCCTTGGAGGTCGAGGGTACAGTGAGCTATGATTGCCCCACTGCACTCCAGCCTGGGTGACAGTGAGACCCTGTCTCAAAAAAAGAAAAAAGGTCAAGGACTGTATCAATTTGGGTGCTGAACTGTATATCTGAGACTTGGACCCTGATCTTAATGATTCCAGAATTTATTATATTCTGCATTTTTTTTTTTTTTTTTTTTTT